TGTGCAGGGGTTCTTATAGGGGCCTCCTGGCCCCTCCCTTACAAGGTGTGTGAGGGGGCTGGAGGGCCATTAACTTTCACCAATGGGGCTGCAGGGGCTGGAGCCCCTTGACCCACCAGTGGGATCAAAGGTGTCTCTTTGCCCCTATCTAGTGGCCTTTGAAGAGACTGCCATGGCTGGCACAAAACACCTAACAATTCCTCTTCTTGCCAGCCAATGACAGGTGACGGTGAATGTGTGTGAGAGGGCGAGCAGGTGTCATGGACATACAGATGCATCGTTTACACGGCCAAACACAAACGCTTACACAGAAGGCTGTGTCGGTCAATGGGCACAGGTTTTGTAAACAGGTCAGCTAACTGGTCGGTAGTGTTACAATGTTTGATTTGTACAAACCCCATTCTGGCAAGCTGCCTGACATTCTTGTAGCGGATGTCTATGTGGCGAGACCTAGAGCGTATGCCCCAGAGATCCCAATTGCGGCCGTGTTATCTTCCTGAATTTGGATGGGCAGAGTAGGAGGTGCCCAGATGCTCGTTACCAGAGCATTGAACCAAATTAAGTCATTTGCAGTGTCCGATAGGCTGGCATATTCTGCCTCAGCCCTGGAGGAAGAAACAAATTTTTGCTGCCTAACATGCCAATGGATAGGACAGCCATTTAGCAGTATGAGGAAACCAGAGGTGCTCTGTCTACTCTTGGTGTCACCAGCCCAGTCTGCATCCGAGTAAGTGGAGAGCTGGGCTGGCTTCCCCTTCTCTGGCTCCAGCATAAGGAGGGCATCAGCCGTGCCCCTGAGGTACCTAAGTACCCTCTTGACAGCATTCCAGTGGAATTCCTTTGGGTTTTCCACGTGCCTGGACAATAGATTTACAGCTAAAGTATGTCAGGCCTGCTCCAATTGCTAATGTATAGCAAGGAGCCAATCACAGATCTATATAATTTGTTGTCTGTGAAGTCAGGGCTGTCTTTTTTTTTTTTTTAATTTGATTTATATGCCGCCCTTCTCCGGAGACTCAGGGCGGCTTACAATGCATTAAGCAATAGCCTTCATTCTTTTGTATATTTTATACAAAGTCAGCTTATTGCCCCCACAAACTGGGTCCTCATTTCACCTACCTTAGAAAGGATGGAAGGCTGAGTCAACCTTGAGCCTTGGAGAGATTCGAACCAGCAGAAATTGCAGGCAGCTGTGTTAATAACAGGGTGCACTAAACCACTGTACTATCAAGGCTCTTTGTGATTGTGGCTGTAGTAATCACTTTGCATGGGGCTACGCGTTGGGTTAGACTCCGCCATTTTACACTTGACCAACAATTCCTCAATTTTTTCTTTCTGGAATAATGCAAATCCCTTCTTAGTGGCCAAGATATGTATACCCAGGTACCTGTCAACCTGCCCCAAGGACTTTGGGGTAAATTTTTCCCCCAGGGCCTTGGCAAATTCGTTACACCTATCCTTGCCAGGCCCTACGTATAGGAGGTCATCCACGTAAACCAACACCCGTTCTGTATCACCTTTGGTGTCACGTGTAAAAATGTGCTCATCTGCATGAGATTCCCTGAAGCCAATTCGCTCTAAACCCTTTTTGAGGCAGTCGTACCAGAGTTTCCCCGACTGCTTGAGGCCATATAAACCCTTTTGGAGTAGCCATGTGTTTTCCCCCTCCTGCTGGTAACCAGGAGGGGCCCTCACGTAGATCTGCCGGTCCAAGTTGGCATGGAGGTAGGCCGTCTGGATGTCAAATTGGTAGACTTCCTTCCCCAGAGCGGCTGCAGTTATGAGGGCGGCCTTGACACTTTCTGCCCGGACAGTTGGAGAGTAGGTCTCAATGTAGTCCTCCATGTAGCGTTGGGCGAACCCCTGTGCTACCAAGCAGGCCTTGTACAGGTAGCGGCCATTGGCAAGTGGTTTGGCCTTGAAAACCCACCTTGTGCCAATGACCTTCTTCTCCTTGGGTGGTTGCCCGGGGATGAAGACCTTGAGTTTTCTCAGGCTCTCCATCTCCTGTTCCATCACGAGCTGCCACTTCTCCTGTTCTTCGACGGGCAGCTCCTGGATGTCAGAGAAAGTCTTTGGGGTGACCACGACGCTGTTGACGGATGCGATGTGCCCAATGTCAATTCTCTTAGGTGGGATCCCCTTGTTGGACCGCTTTGACCTTCTGACCTCCTGCCACTCACCACCCTTTTCCTCTGCGGGTTCCTCGCCAACTGGCTGTTCACGACCGGGATGTGGAGGCCCTCAGTCCCAGGCATTGGGCATTATGGGCCTCTGGAGCGTCGCTGGAGGCGAAGAGTCAGGTGAAGATGGCATGTCTTCCCCCTCAGGACTAGATGGCTCATCCTCCTCATCTGGACCAGGTAGGCTGACCTCTTCATCCTGTTCCTCGCTCTCGTCGGTGGCAGGGTCTGTGGTTGTCTCAGGCGGTGTCATGGTTGGTGCAGCTTTGCTGGGCCGGTTAATGTATGGACCCAGATCATTTGAGTGGATCTGGGTCCAATTGGAGTCCTCTTCGAAGGAGGCAGATTGGGAGGTCACAATCCTGCTCCCTTCTCCCAGGAATCGGTAGGCCTTGGAGCTAGGGGCATAGCCCAAGAACCTTAGTCTCTGGGAGATGGATCTCCCCTTCTTTCGCAGCTGCTTGGGGATGTGCACCCAAGCGTAGGTGCCAAACACACACAAGTGTCCCAAATTTGGCTTCCTACCGTGGACCAGAAAATATGGGGTCTGGTTCACAACGCTGCTCCAGGTGCGGTTCAGGGTGTAGTTGGCATAGTGTACCACCTCCGCCCAGTACGATTCCGCAACCCCAGCATCCGCAATCAGGCTGCGCACCATGGTCTGCAGAATGCCGTTGTGTTTTTCTGACACACCGTCCTGTGCAGGTGTAAAAGGGGCTGTATGAAAATGGTGTATGCCCTTGTGCCTTATCCAGTCCTGGAATTTTCGGGACATGAACTCAGCCCCACGGTCGCTCTGCAGCTGCGCGATCTTTGTCTTGTACTGAGTTTCCACATAGTTTTACAATGATTTTATGGCATCAAAAGCTTCAGACTTTTCTGTGAGGGTATACACATGGCCATACTTCGAGAAATCATCGACGGCAGTGAGGAAATACTGCCTTTTTCCTAGGGATGGTGTAAATGGCCCAACCAAATCAACATGTATTAATTGATATGGGTATTGAGTTTTACTCAGTGACACCTTAGGTATTGGGGCGGCCTTCCTCTTTGCCCTCTTACAGATGGCACAGTCCAGAAACACCTCACAATCCTGGAGATGAATCCCCTCAGCAAATTCCCCCATCTTTTTAACCACTGGGAAGCTCGCATGGCCTAACCTCCGATGTAAGAGGTGGGCACATTTAGTATGCAGCGGCTTTCCCACTGACACCCCCTTGGCTCTGGTTGCCTTGGGCGGTGCTGGCACCTTAGGCCCTTCTTTGGGCTTACCTGCCTTAGGTGCCTGCTGAGGCTCGGGTTTCTTGCCCGCATTGGCTTTGGAGGGCCGTGGTACTGGTTGAGGTGGCGTGGGCACAACTGCCTCAGTCTTGTGCATCTTTGACAGCCTGGGAGCTGGCTGTGGAGCCTTTCTCTCTCTCTGCGCGCAGGCCCCTTCTGGGGTGGCACCCTGTGAGCTGTCTCCTGTGGCTGGGTACTCGGGGGAGAAATATGGCAAACCATTTATAATAGTAACATTCCCAATGACCCTTTTGTCTCGAGTGACATGACCTGCCCCTTTGCGAAACAATACCTTCACCCTACCATCATCACATAGCTTGGTTATGCTTAACAAGTTATTGGCTATAGAGGGAGCATGTAATACACCTTCGACATTGCCCAGCCCTGGTACAGAGATAGTGCCCTCCCCAACAACCAAAGCATTGTTACCATTTGCAACCTTAACAGAGGAGTTAATTCTCCTTAACCTCCTAAAGCCTTGCCTCAAGTTAGCAATGTGAGATGAAGCCCCAGAGTCCAGTAACCAGAGGCCAGTAGGGCCATCAGCCTTTGTGGCGGGGGTGAAATAGCTAGTATTCACAAAATTGCCCTTAGCACCACCTTTGCCCCTGCCAGGCCCCCTTCTCTGCCCCCTGCCCCTTCCTTGATTGGAGCCACGCTTAGGTCCTTGCTGGTAATGGGGGCAGTCCTTCTTCAGATGCTCCTCAGAGCCACAGATGAAACACTTGGGTAGAGCATTAACCTGCTCTGAACTCTGGTGCCTTCTGTTGATGCGATGAGTTGTGGCCCCGGTGTACTCTCCCGCATCTCTACACCTCCTGTCTTCCTCATTGAGCCTCCCTGTGAGGTAGGACAGAGTCATGGCTTCCTTTCTGGTTCCCTCTAGTGAGACAATAAAATTGCCCCAACTTTTGTCCAGGGATGCCAGAATGACAGCGATCATGTTGGCCTCAGTCACGGGGTAGTCCCTGAGCACCAGCTCTGCCCTGAGTGCCTTCAACTTTCCAAGGTGCTCAGCCATGCTAGCCCCAAATTTTAGCTTGGTGTTATAGAACTCTGTTGTGAGTCTTGTGGTGGAGCCCAAGCTATCACTATTAAATAAGCTATATAACAACCCCCAAATTTCACCAGCTGTGAGCCCATCTGGAATGCTAGGGTACAATTTAGCATCCAGTGAGCTCAGTAGAGTGGTATAGGCTCTCCTGTGGTACCACTCTTCTTGAGGTCCCCAAGGGAAAGGTGGGGGGTCTAAAACCATTTCTAGGGTCCCCTCTTTTAAGAGACATACCTGAATCTCTTTATTCCATATATTATAATTATCCCCTCCCAGATGTAATTTCTGGAAATTATTTGGGAGAACAGACACAGCTGGGGCAGAAAATGCTGATATATTTTGCTGTCCAAGGTATCTTTGCTTTGGTTCCATTGAAGTAAATGGGAGAGGGATCCCTCTGCTGGCCAGTGTAGGTATTTTTCTCTGATTATTTTTCTCCTTTTCAGATGGGGCCAACTGAGCGTGCTCAGAACTCATTCCAGCCCAGGAGCTGATGGGGGCGGACCTCTCCCTCTGTGCTTCAGAGCCAGGCCTGGGCCCAGGCCTGTGGGGCTCTGAAGAGTCTTCTGGAAGTCCCCCTGGTACTGGAACACTTACCAAGGGGCGAAGGCTGCATGATGGGGCCGGAAAAGCCCGAAAATGCTGAGGATCGCCTGGAGGGGCCCACTGCTGGCCCTGAAGACTCTGGAGGAGGCATCCATCTTGGGAGGTGGGAGGCTCGGCTGGAGGCCCCCTGAAGTCATCCAGGTGAGTCCTCCGTTGCCTAGGTGGGGGTGTTGGGAAGGCTGGAGCCCCCAGGGGTTCTTCTGGGGCTCTCTGGAGGCCTGGGCCCTGGCTGGGGGCTCTGGATTGGACGCCCCCCCTCGCTGGTCCCCTGGGGGTGTTGAGGGAGGCTGGCTGCCCCCGAGGTTGAGGCCTCGGTCATCATGGCCTCCAGGGCTGCGACCAAGACTTGGATTGCAGCCCTGATGCCCGCTGCAGCAGGAGCGGCTGGGCAGACTTCAAGGCTTGCCTGTGGGGGGGGGCGAGCAGTTTGCATGCTGCTTTGGCTGGCTGCCATCCGTTGCTGGGCCTCGTGGCCTAGCTGAGGCCTACCAAGCCTCGCTGGAGTAGGTGGCCTGGGGGCTGCCATGTTGCTTCCGGTTGGCCCCGGAAGCTGCAGGTCATGATTTGGTGGGAATTTTCCCACCAAAAGCTTTGGGGCCCCGGGGTCCCGCAGCGTGGCCGGCACCATGTTGGGGAGCCTCCTGGGCACTGGGGAAGGACTTTCCCGGTGTCCAAAGGCCCCCTGCGCTGGTGTCCCACGTGGCTGGGCTCCTGGCGTCCCTCGGGTTGCTAGGAGCGATCGTAGCAGCTCTCTGCATTCCTCACCAGTGAGCTGGTCTACGCTGGGGGTGGCCTGGTCCCTGGCCGCATCCCCGGTGTCCTGGCAGTCCTGGGTGGACTGCTGGTCTTCCATGCCTTCCTCTGTGGCTTGCAGCTGCGAGGAAGCATGCAAAGGGGTCCCTTGCATTCCGCTGGGTCCTCTGGGGGCATAGAGATCATATGTACCTTCCTCTGGATCAAAGCTCGCATCAGGGACTGGATTCAGTGCTGCCAACCTTGCTTGGAGACTCCTGGTCATAACTGGGGAAGTCCTGCCATCCATCTCTTGGGGGTTCTTGCTGGAACCTCTTGGCATCTTGCTACTGCTGGCTTGGAAGCGTTGCCTCAAACCATCCTCGGCTACCACTTTTGTGAGGGATCTCACGAAGAATGATGGTTTGTTGAGGGTGCTTCCAAGAAAAGGTCAGCACACAAGGATGCAATCAAATTAAGTCTTTATTTAGAAGTAAAAGTGGAGTAAAATAAGGTCCCAGGCATGGAGGCATCCATGCCTGGATTGAGCCCATGGATCAGTCCCATAGGAGACTAGAAAAAGAGCAGGCAAAAGGGAAAGGGTAAAAAGGGGCCGGAGGGCCATTAACTTTCCCCAATGGGGCTGCAGGGGCTGGAGCTCCTTGACCCACCAGTGGGATCAAAGGTAAGGTGACCAGACGTCCCACTTTTGGCGGGACAGTCCCGATTTTTAGCAATTTGTCCCGCGTCCCGCGGCGTTTCAAAAAAGTCCCGATTTTTCATTCTGCCTCCTGAGTCCCGCTGCCTCTTGAGCCCCAGCTGATGGCTAGAAGAAAAAAAAACTGTTTAAACTCTTGCCCAGGGCTTCAAAGGGCCGCCCTACAGGCAATCAGTGTAAAGAGTTCCTGAAGCAGTTTTTTTTCCCCCTAGCTAAGCTGCAGAAACGAAACCGAAACCAGGATCTTTGGTGCAACGTGACAAAATGAGGCAGAGAGAGATTTATTTTTATTTTTATTTTTCCTCCCCAAAAAAGGTAGGTGAAAAACTGCAAACAATGGGAAATTTAGGAGGAGAGTTCAAGATTTTAAAACACAAAAGAAAAAAAAAGCTGTATTTAACTAGGGAATTGTAATAATTGAGATACTATTAATTGTATATTGTATTGAAAGCAGAAATGGTTAAGTTGTGGTTCTGAGGAATATATGGGGGAAATTATTTGGTTTATTATTATTGGTAAATATAATTAATTGATTTGTAAGAAATTGGATTGCATGGAAATAATTGGAATATTCATGTTCATATTGATTAATATACAAAAAAGATAGTTTTATAACTAATTGATTTATATTAAAATTTTGAATTTGTATTAAACAACTGTATTACATAATTAAACAATGTGAGGATGGATATAAAAATAGATGACAATGGGAAGAGGTATAATATAGAATAGAAGGGAAAAATTGAATTTGATTAAGATTAGAGATGAGGATGAAGGGTAATATTGGTTTTTTTAAAAAAATAGATGAGGAATAAATATGGCAAAAAGGAAATATAGAAATTGTAAATTTAATTGAAGTGACTAAACACTGTTTAAATTTGTGAACCGGCCAAATACTCTGTTCAAAGAAAATAAATTGTATGTTTGTATGTGTGTTCCTAATTACTGCTATTTATTCATATTTGTTCTCTTTTATTCTTTAAAGTTTAACCATTCATTCTTTATCTTAATATCTTTATATTTGTTTGGGGTTGGCTTTCTTCCCTTTCATCTTTTTTATTGTACAGCAATCTTTCTCCTCAAACCTACCACCTCTCTTTTTTCTTTCCTTCTTCCCCCCCTCTTCTTCTCCTCCCTACTTCCTCTTCCTTTCTCCTTCTCCTCCTCTCTTCCTCCCTCTCTTACCCTCACTCCTACTCTAATTTCCCTTCCCTTCCTTCCTCCCTCTCTATTGCTGTATCCTTTTATGCATATGGACTACTCAGAGGGCTGAAAAAGTTATTTTTGACTGGTCCTCACACTTTTGACCAGTCCTCGAACTTACGACTGTCCTCACATTTTACATTTTTGCCCTATCTTGTCATCATGGTGAAGAGAAGCAGTTGTGAAATGAGTGTTTGCTGCTGGCCGCCGCCAGACGTTCCTTAGGGATCGTCAGCTTCCACTGCCTGTTAGAGCCGCCTTCACAACGGAACGGCGGCTCGAAAAAACTCCGTTCCCATGAGGAAACGGAGATAGAGCCGGCAGGGGTGGGTAGAACTCTCTGCAGAGTCCCAAAAGTTTTTCTTTTACTTTTGGGATGGAGCGGATGAGATGCCCCATATCCCCAGCCGTTGCTCCGGGCTTTGGGAGACCTCTGCTAATGCAGAGCCAGGCGTCAAAAGCAAGCTTGCGAATTTGACAGATTACTCAAAGAAAATGTGAGCTGGACCTGTAATACTGAAGCGCAAGTATTTTACTTATCTTTTAAAAATTACTTAAGAGAATAGAGGAAGAGAAAGAGGAAAAAAGTTTCTTTTTAAAATGGCGTCTGCCGCGGCTGGAGAAGAGTTTGAGAGGGAAAGTTCTTCCGTTTTTTATTATTACAATGTAGCGGAATAAATACCACTGGCTACATTTGTAGACAAAACTCCGCTCCTGTTTTTGTTTTTCTCTTTTTTCCCTGGAGGCTTGAGTGTTGCTGGCTGGAAGTCTTTTGTCTTGTTTTTTTTTTTTTCTTCTTCTAACAAAGCCTGCTTAGGCGGAAACATGGCACTGAGGCTTGTGAAGTCAGACAAACAAATAGGTGGGGGGGATTCCCCCACCAAGAATTTAAAGCAATATGTTTTAACTCTTCAGTCCCAGAAACCTGATTTTAATATAATAGAATTTCTCTTAGAGGAGATTGAAAGAAGGGATGAGATTGTGAATCAGCAACTTGAAAAATTTAAGCAGGAAACTAAGGAATTGGTGAAATCCAAGTTTGACTTTTTGCAGCAAAAAATTTTAAAATTGCCAGAATTCATGATTCGGTTGGATACAAATACTAATTTACTAGAGTCAAAAATGGATGAAATTCAAGATAAATTGGACAATAGATTTCAAAAAATTGAAAATGATTTGTTAAATATTCAGGATTATAGTTCAGAAGAAAAATTTAAAATGGATGCTGACCAAAAGTCTGGTAATGTAGAATATCTGGAACAGAGGATTCAAAAAGAGGTTCTAAAGATACAATATAATTTCACAGAATATGCAATAAGACTTAGAGGTTTGCAGGAAAATAACAGAGATGACTTAAGGAAAATATCTTCTGAATTTCTAGCTGGGATTTTAAAGATTCAACCTGAGGAAGTGTTTTGTAGGATTGACAGAGCTTATCGAATAAGCTCTTGGACTGCCAAGCAAAGGCAATTGCCTAGAGAAGGAGCTGGAACTAAAGACAGAGACTGTACCAGATAAATTGCCTTTGGATTTATCGGATACCCCAGCTGGATTATCTACAAATTTGAGAGAAGTGCCATCTGATTTTAATGTGATGACTTATCAAGGCAAGGACAAGCATGGAAACCAATTAGAGGATATACAAGGGATAAAAAAGAAATGCGAGACACAAAAAATTAGGATGGAGGTCAAACCCACAAAAAGAAAACAAAAAAAGAAATAGGTTGTACAAAAATAGAAATTTCTAACCCAAGCAACAGTGAAGCCAGTGATTTTAAAATATGAATGATTATGTGAAAACATAGAGGAGGCGACATATTGGTCAATATCATCCTGAGGATAGTGGCAGATCTCTGCATTGCCGTAATTTTGGGACATGGAAAGAGCCTCAAATTGATGGTTTTGAATTATCTATTTTGAAACTTCTTTTTGTGTTGATAAATATATTATAATTATCTTGAATTATAAGGCAAGAGAATCACATTGGGACATGCAGAAGATCGGGTTGTTACCCAATACGATGATGGAAATTAATAATCCTGATGAAACCCACAATTATTATTATATGGAATACAATTATAATGTCACTCGGGTGGTTGTTTTTACTTTTATATATATAAGAAGATGTTTACTACTGATGGGGGCAGATATGATTGGAGATCTTGAATAAACTGTTGCATCCGCAAGCTATGTCACCCTATTATGGATGTTGGTTTTAACAATCCAGTGGAAAGACTTCAAGAAGATATTATATGGACTATAAATTTAAAGTTATTGTCTTTTCTTTTTTTTATTTAGATATAATGGAATATATATATATATATATTTTTAAGTAGTGTGGGTAGTGAATTAAAGATATCAAGAATTGTTGTGTATGGTAAATTTGTAAGACAGTGGGTGAATAAGCTAGCTACAGACTGATTAGTTTAAGAAAAGGGATTTTTAAGTGATACATTTAGGGGAGTGGAGGAAATGGATAGAGTGGAAT